ATATAACATATAATTGTACTAAAATTATACAAATATTACAAATTGTAACAATATTATTTATTAAAATAAAATATTATTTTAAAGACTTTTATTTTAAACAAAAATTAAACTCATAAGTACATACTACCATATGCATAAATCATGTACTCATAGCATCAAAATATCAAACAAACAAAAAACAAGTATACATACAGAAACGAAATCCTTTCAAAAACCAATACAAAATGAAAGTGATCTAATTTTTTGGTGCAACGCTTTGCTTTGCATTTTATGCAAAGACTTTGCAATGAAATTTTTATTTGCAAAGTGCAAAGTAAATCATGTTAAGTCTTTGGTGCAACGCTTTTCACTTTTACTTTGCAAAAAAAAGTCACTCATAAGTTTCGCAAAGTGAAAAGTGAAAAGTGTTGGTGCAACAGGGCCCAGGTAAACTCATGGATAGATGAAAACTGTTCGAAATATGTATTTATATTTTATGAAGTTATCAAACAAAGTAACAAAAATAAAAAATATTGAATTAGTTACTTTCATAGATTTTTAAATAATTTTCAAAGTTAATCGTGTAGTGTACCACACGGAGGTACGAAATGGGTTAAAGAATAGGAATGCAATAGTCATTAAAGATGGCCTTAACTTTGAGAGAGGGCAACTATTAATATCCCATTAGAGGTTCGACTTATGAAGACTTCGGATCGAGAATTTTTCAGAATCACATTTTAAGATAATTATTTATTTGAAATCAAATACAGCACAGAAGTTACAGTTAGGTGAAACGTTAAAAATTAGGGTTTGGGTTTTAATTTGTTTTCTTATTTTCAGTAAAAAAGGATTCTAATTTATTTAAAGTCTTATAGTGATCATCAGTTGGAGTATCATTCATTTGTAAATAAAAATTCAGTTTCATCCACCGAACCGTCATCATTACTTTCCGTTTCGCTTATAATTGGATCCACTAATTCGCAGCCATAATGCTCAATTATATAGTCATCTATAAGAAAGATTGATGTACAAATTTCATTGTCAAGCTCAATATAGTCGTTAAGAAAAGCATTGGGTGTTATTTTATTCAGTTTAAACTACGCTGCCAGCGATTGGCATTTGCACAAAAAAGCAACATAAGAAAAAAAAATCAAACATTTGGATTGGAAAAAGGGACTTCCTCTAACACCATAATGGATTCATACTTTAGACAAAAATTTAACTTACAGAATGCACTTTCCCACATTCCTAATGGCACGTGACAATGTTGTCATTTGAGTTATAGCGAAATTCGAGTTATAGAAGTTCGAAGTATGGAAGCAGAAATGTATGTAATTTACTCTCTAAAACCCTACTGTACTTGTTTTATGTTAGCTTGAGTTATAGAAAATTCGAGTTATAAAAGTTCGAGTTATGGAAGTTCGACTGTATTTACTGTCTGCAGCACACTGATGTTAAATAAAGTTGTAAATATTTTATTTGCTGTGATATAAATATTAAGTGATGTAAATATTAAAAATAGGATCAGAAACTTTTAAAATAGAAATCGAAAGGACTATGAAGAAAATTGAAAATCTATTTAGGAACAGAAGATATAAAAGAAGAAATGCGGATTTCTATTAGTTAAGAATAAGATTAGATTACATTGCGTAAACTTGATTTTAATTTAAAAAGAAATCATATGAGTATAGAAAAATTATGAAAAATTGACTGAACACTTAATAATGCTGAAAACAAGGACTTTCTGTCAACATTATGAGACAAATTTTAGCTAAATGGTACTACCCGAAAGAAGCGTTTTTGTAGCTCTTTTTAAAGTATTCAAGTTTGTCATGTGGCTTACGTCATTGATTATGGAGTCACAATGCTATAGAAATGAAGTGTTTGTTCTATGGACCTATTATTGGGCCCACAAATCACTCAAATCTCTGCCGATGTTGCTTCAGTCGTTTTTGCTTCATAGCAAAGAAGATTTTGCAATATTCGT